CAGCCCCACCTACCTCACAGGCAAGGTTTCCTCTAAGCTGTGGGTCTCGTGAGCAAAAAATCTACTTGGTGAGCTCCTGGCATTCAAGGTGTGAGCGAGCGGTTTGGCTGCTGCATCGATTAGTGTGCTCTGGAGCCATCCTTCCTGAGCTAAGACGAAAAATGTGTGAGCCAGAGGCTAAAAAACTGTCAGCTAGCTCACACTAACTCAGCTTAGAGGGAACACTGCTCACAGGGTGTCTGTTGTGGGAAGGGGAAGGGAAAGGAGGTTGTCAGCTGCTCTGAGACTCCTTCGGGTAGTGAAGGGCCATGGGGTATAAATCCCATCTCCTCCTCCTCCCTCACTTGACAGTCACGTTCAGGCTGGGCAGGAGCACCAAAGGGAGTAAGTCTTAACAAAGTGACTTTGGCATTTGGGGACACATTCTTTGTGGAACACGAAATAGTGAAGGGCCATGGGGTATAAATCCCATCTCCTCCTCCTCCCTCACTTGACAGTCACGTTCAGGCTGGGCAGGAGCACCAAAGGGAGTAAGTCTTAACAAAGTGACTTTGGCATTTGGGGACACATTCTTTGTGGAACACGAAAAGGGATGGCGTTAGGATGGGTCTCCTGGGGTTTCTACTTGACCGCGTGAAAGAAATGTTTGTGGAACGGTGAGGAGCTCCTTCTCCCACCAGCTGAGTTGGTCTGCCTTAGAGCAGCGACATTTGCACCCAGGAGCACCTGAGAGAGAGACCAGCAGGATTTCTCGGGCGCGAGCTGTCGGGAGAGAGTCACAGCTCCCTTAGTCACCTGATGAAGGGAGCTTTGGCTACGGAAAGCTTCTGCTCCCAAAATCGTGTTGACTGTCCAGGGTGCTGCTGGTTTCGGATTGAGCTGTTCTCTGCGGGGTGGTGGTGCTGGTGGTGCTGAGAGGGCAGGGGGGGGGGAGAGGATGTAATTTAAAGTCGTCAGCCCCTACAAACTTGCCGAGTGGGCCCTTTCAGTTTTCAGGAGGTGTGGGCGGGGTAGGGAAGATTTTGGGGGGGCGGCTGGGCGCACAGCATTCACAGCTGAGGATATAATTGAAAACTGTTGATTTAGAATGTTACAGTTGGAAGGGACCTTGCAGGTCATCTAGTCCAACCCCCTGCAGTTTGCAGGAGCATAGCCGAAAGATAGCCCTACATACCTACAACATACCCGAAAGATGGTCGTCCAGCCTCCGCTTGAAAACGTCCAGCAAAGGAGCATCCACCACTTTAAAGCAACACTTGATAATGTCTGTGTCCAGGGCTATTTTTGGGCAGGAACGCACAGGAACGGAGTTCCGGCTGGCTTCCGAGTTGGCCACGCCCAGCAGGAACTCATTAACATAACAGGCCACACCCAACAGCAGAAACTCATTAGGATTGGCTACATTAAGGGTGTGTGGCCTAACATGCAAAGGAGTCCCTGCTACACAAAAAGCCCTGGGTTTTGACAACAAACAAGGTAAACAGAATAAGAAGCAAAAGGTGGGTATGGCTGGATGACCACACTTCTGGTAACATGGGGGTGAGGTCTAATGTGCTAATGAGCTGTGATGTCAGGGGTGTGGCCTGTTTCTGCTGTTGGGTGTGGCCTATTATGCTAATGAGTTCCTGCTGGGCTTTTTCTACAAAAAGAGCCCTGTCTGTGTCTAATAATGTCATAAGGAGGACTGAAAAACAGCAAAGAGTTTCTGATCATAAATTCCTCAACGGGGGCCTAGTTTGGTCCTCAGAGACACCACAAAAAGGATTCTGTGAAATCATGGAGATGGTTCTAGTGAGCCGGCGCACTCCCTGAGGGGAAGCTCTGAGCACCACATCTCCAAAGGGGAGGCGGGGAAGAGAGAGAGAGAGAGCGCAGAAGGCGGCACTAGGGGCTGGATAAAACCAGGATCCCTTCCTCTGGCTTGATGAAAGCTAATTAAGTGGACTGTGCTCTCCTCCTTTACGGCCTCAGGGCCCAATGAGTCGTGTGTGTGTGTGCTGGGGAATTGGGAGCTCCATGTGCCTAGAACTGAGTTTTAAAAGATTGCGGAGCGCTCTGGCTGTGGAACTCCCATAAGCCCTCAGGGTTTGCCTCGCCTTGGGCTTGTGAGGGTGTCTGTGTGCCCACGGCGGGGCACTCCAGAGGGCGAATCTGGCAAACACAACATGATGGGTCGGATGGGAGAACTCCCGAGGGGCGTTTTGCCTTCTGCCGGATGGGTCGATGCACAGAAGCCGCCGGGGCTGCAATTCCTCTCTGATCATTCACTGCCAGGATCCTTCTGCACCACTCTCTCCTTTTCTCTCCTCCATGAAGCTCCTGTTCCTGCTTCCAGAGCAGAATGTAGGGTTGGAAGGGACCTTGCAGGTCATCTAGTCCAACCCTCTGCACTCTGCAGGAGCATAGCCGAAAGATAGCCGTACAACAGTCTTTCTTCTTAGTCACAGGCCAAACTCTGCAGCCCAGCAGTTCTTGATCTTGTTCCTGGCCTACTTATTTATATTTATTTATTATTTACTTGAGGGTCAGCCCAAGCCGAATTCCAGGGTCAGAGTCAAAGCTCAGTCCAAAGGTCAGTTACCGAGAGGGCAGAATCCAGTTCAGAGCGTCATACAGGAAGCAAGGTCCAACAGTCCAAGGTCATTCATGAGTACAGGGAGGAAGATTCGAGAGTCAAGAGCCGGTCCAAGCGTCACAGAAGCAGAGTTCAGAACTGCAGTTGCTCAGTCGAGAGTTTGGTGACTTGTTGCTCCCACATCGAGCAGTCTAGTCTCCCTTGACGACTGCTCACTGGGATCACGAGACCTGCATGCTTCAGTTGCCACGGAGGTCGGAAGGCCGCAAGGAGGAAGGGGGCCAAATCGAGGCTGTGGAGCAGTCTAGTCTCCCTTGACCAGCTTTTATAGGCCTCTGCTGGAAGGTCGTACTTGCAGTCAGCTGCCTGGGAGTAACCCTTGCAGCTACTCATCATCAGCAAGCGGCTGGTGTCGGGCCAGGAGACGTGCGCTTTGTCTTCTTTCCTGAAGCTCCAGTCTAAGCCTTTGTCTCCAGTGCTCAAAGGGTGTGGGTGAAACTGGAGGGCTGGTAATGACCACCTGGGTTTCCTCTGTTGGAACCGGGCTGGAAGGTGCTGGTGGTGCCGCATCAGCTGTCAGCTGCGAACCGCAGACAAGCCTCCGTCTTCTTGCTGGTTCAGAGCTGATTTCCTGAGGCTCTTCTTCTCCTGAGGAGTCCTTGCTGTTGCTGAGTCCTGGCTGACCCACAACAGTTTCTCATGGACAACCAGAAAGTTTTAGGGTTATGGGATGAAAGTATTAAAAGCTGGGTGTTTGGTAGAAAAAAAGCAAGAATATATTTAAAAAATGGTATATATGCCCCAAGATGATTTAGGATGGGGACTGCCACATTTATAAGCCTATTATGATGCATTTCAGTTGAAGGCACTAATGGAGATGGAATGGATGACGGAGGATAAATGGGTAAGATTTGAATCTGCAATTAATAAGGGGGTAGGCAGCTATGGAATATACACTAGAGATTTGCGAAAGGAGATAGGAACAGCAATGGGTCCAAGATAATCAGCTTTGACGGTTTGGAAGAAGTGCAGGACGATTCTGCTGCCTCAGACTTCAAAGTGGACCCCACTTAAGTATATTTGGGAGGAGGAGATGAATCCAAAATTTTGGAAAGTCCTTAAGGAGGAAGGCATAATTAGAGTCAAGGATATGTATAACTCTCAAGGGAATCTCCTACCACTTCAGGAGCTGAATCAAAAAATAGGGGGGAATTATTGGTTAAATTTAAGGGGACTATCACATTTGATTAAACAAGGTAAGTATATAGAAGCTATAAAAAGGGAAGACAACAATTTAGAACAGGTATTATATGTGGATAAAATAAGGAAAGGATTAGCAGGGAAAATTTACCTTGAATTGGTGAAAGATAAGGAGTTTATATTAAGAACCTTAAAAAATAAATGGAATAAAGAAAAACAAATAACTTCTGATGACGTTAATAAGTTAATGGTGAATTTGAAGAGAATTAAATTAGAAAAGTATAGAGAGCTTGAAAGAAAGATAATTTGGAAATGGTATAGAACCCCTGCCCAATTGGCATATATGATTAAAGGCATGAAACCTAATTGCTGGCACTGCAACGCAAAAGAAGGGTGGTATTCTCACCTATGGTGGGAATGTCCAAAGGTTAGAGATTTTTGGGAAAAGGTACGGGGAAAGATAGTAGGGTTATGTAAGGTGGATATTAAAATAGATGGAGATCTATTATTTATGGGCATACTGGGAAACTATAATATTGAGAGACAAAATCAGGATGTTTTTAAAGCAGTGATACTAGCAGCGCATGCTGTGATTGCATATGGTTGGAAGGAGAGTTTGAAGTGGTCTTTAGATAGATGGAATGACTATTTATACGAATATATCCAGTCAGACATATTGGAATGTATTAAAAAAGCATGGGATGTAAAGATGAAGGAGATAAAAAAAGAAATGGTCTATATACTTTCAATGGGTAAATAATGGAGAAGCCAATTCCGTTATACTTGAAAAAATGGAAAAAATGTGCTCATGGTTAAAAATTTAATTTGTAGCTACGTGATGGCCACCTTGTGGGGGGTGGGATATAAAAAGGGGGGGAAATGTATCATAAGAGAATTGGGATTGTATTGCAATGTCATAATAATTTATGATGCAAATAAAAAAAATTAAAAAAAAGTTTCTCATGGACAGAAATGAAAATGAGGAAACAGACAGCAGGTAGGAGCAGATCCCCTAGTCTGGGTTCCCTTTGAATTCTGAATGATGAGCCCATGTTTACTTTTTGGGATAACCATCTCTGCTTTTTCTCTTGCTTCCTTTTCCAGGCCCTCCGGGGATCCCAGCCCAGTCAGAACCATTTGCAGAATGCAGGTAAGAAGAAGGGGGGTCATTCACACAGGAATCAGTCCTATGTTTTCCAACAGCGATCATGTTCTTCAGTGAAAATGGCTGCCTTGCAATCTCTGTTTCCAAACTCTTTTCAAGCTGTCTGTTTTGCTCTCCACCAATGGTGTTTAGTCATGCCTTGGTGTTTAGTCATGCCGGCCACACGACCGTGGAAACGTCTTCGGACAGCGCTGGCTCTTCGGCTTTGAAACGGAGATGAGCACCGCAACCCTAGAGTCGGACTCGACTGGCTTTTGAGCAAGGGAACCTTTACCTTTTTAATACTTCCTTCCCTGTCCTCCTTTCTGTTTTGGACTCTTTTGCCAGAGGTCTGTGCAGGTGAGGTTCTGTGTATTCCTTCCATGCGCAAGCCCTGTCTGTGCAGTGGTGGGGGTGGAAAGTGCTGTTAACTCACAGCTGACTTTTGGCGACCCTGCAGGGCTTTCAGTGCAAGAGACGTTCAGAGGTGGCTTGCCATGGCCTGCGTCTGTGTAGCAACAGTGGAATTCTTCCTGATGGTCTCCCACAAAGTACTAGTCAGAGGGATGGGATGGGGCTATCCAGTTCAGGGTGGACAAGTGCAGAACTTTGCCTTAAGTGCAGAAATGTCTAGCCCTTGGTGGTGGTGGTCGTAGAAAGCGCCATCAAATTGCAGCCGACTTATGGTGACCTCGTCGGGTTTTCAAGGCAACATGAGAGGTGGTTTTCCATTGCTGGCTTCTGTGTAGCAACCCTGGACTTCCTTGGCAGTCTCCCATCCAAGTACTAACCAGGGCCGGCTGGTAGAAGCTCTAGGAATCACCATACCATAGAGTTTCTAGGAGGATCTGTGTGTCTATCACCAAGCCATTGATCAACCAGGTATATCTCCCCTGGTCGGCATGGCAATGCTAGGCGGAGTGTGTGCGTGAGACGTATGCTTGGGGGCTGGATGGGACCTGCTTGAATCTTCTATAATAAGATTGTACCCGCCAAAAGTCTTTCATTCTGACACGGTGACTTCTGGATCTTGCATATGCTCTCATAAACTTATCACTGCCAAAGCGAGAGTTATTGAGTGTAACCAATGTTCCCTCTAAGCTGTGGAGTCCTGTGAGCAAAAATTCTACTTTGTGGGCTACTGGCATTAAAGTTGTGAGCGAGCAATTTGGTTGCTGCATAAATTAGTCTGCTTTGGCGCCATCCTTCCTGAGCTAAGACAAAAATGTGTGAGCCGGAGGCTAAAAAACTGTGCGCTAGCTCACACTAACTCTGCTTAGAGGGAACACTGACCACCAGTCCTGGCCGGCAGCTGCTCTTTTATGTACATATTGTCAGACCCCGGTCCAGTTACACTCAGTGTTCCCTCAAAGCTGAGTTAGTGTGAGCTAGCTCACAGTTTTTTAGCCTCCGGCTCACACATTTTTGTCTTAGCTCAGGAAGGATGGCGCCAAAGCAGACTAATTTATGCAGCAACCAAATTGCTCGCTCACAACTTTAATGCCAGTAGCCCACAAAGTAGAATTTTTGCTCACAGGACTCCACAGCTTAGAGGGAACATTGGTTACACTCAATAACTCTCGCTTTGGCAGTGATAAGTTTATGAGAGCATATGCAAGATCCAGAAGTCACCGTGTCAGAATGAAAGACTTTTGGCGGGTACAATCTTATTATAGAAGATTCAAGCAGGTCCCATCCAGCCCCCAAGCATACGTCTCACGCACACACTCCGCCTAGCATTGCCATGCCGACCAGGGGAGATATATGTCCTGGTAATCTAGAGTCCAAGATGGTACGGGAAAGTGCTCAAGGCCACCTTCCCCCGGGAAAGCGAAAGAGGAGGAGAAGGAGGATGACTTGTGGAAAAGTGACATCTTCTAAAAGCAAAGGTCTCAAGCACTCCCTCACTCACTCACCCCCACCTTCAGGAAGGAATGCCCTCTCCCCAAGAATTAGGGCCACCCCAGCAAGCGCAACAAAGCAGGCAGTGTAAAGCAATGTAGTTGTATAGCTTGGGAGATCTCATAAGTCATGCACTAGGACTAGGGCTTCAGGAATCAGAAATGATGCAAAAAAGGCATTTCCTGTCCCTGTTTACTTTAAATGGAAGGAGAAGAGACTGACGGCACCCTGTGCAAGTTTACTGAGAAGTAAGCCATTTTATTCAATAAGAAAAATAGGGGACACCAAGGAATAATAATAATAATAATAATCTTTCAATTTATTAATCGCTCAATCCTGCAGAGCTTGCTGGCTCTGAGCGATTTACAGTTACTCAAATATGGGACTAACAATGATTCAAGGGGTAAGGGAGGACAACATATAATATATTTTTTAAATCACACACGTTTGCAGCCGACGGGGAGTTTGTTCAGCTGTAAGGTCAGACGTCTTCCAACGGCATTTTTACCTCGGTGTGGCTTGATGTCGTCAGCTTTCTCCGGACTGCTTCAAGTTGCAGTGCAGCACTGCCACCGCTTGGCCGGATAGCCCATTACAGGCTTCCTTGATGCCGAAGAGTTCTTTCTACGCTTTCGGTCTTACGCGCTGGACATTCCATTCGCCGGCTAACACCTCCCCCACCGGGGGGTTGAGTGTGCCCACCCTCTCTAAGGAGTGGTACCCATTTTATCTACTCGCCGAAGCTTTCGAACCACTAGGTGGACGGCGAGCTGGGGACAAGGCTAGTAGCTCACAACAGCACGGGGCTAGAACTGACAGCAGCTCTGTTCAGCTCAGATGTATTAACCAGAGGATAAATCCCCTGTGCCACCGCTCCACCCTCTTCTGTATCTTTAACACACTTAGTTGTATTATTATAACAAATTTCCTTAAAACAAATTTCCTGTATTAACTAGCATTCATTCATTATACATGAAGTACATTTCATGAACATAAGCAAAGCCAGTAAATGATAATATGAGTACAATACAAAACAATACAAAGTCTTGATGTAGTTAGTCTTGACGTTGTTTTGGCTGAGCTCCTGGAATGTTTACTCTTTGAGACGTCCTGACGGAGCCGTAAAGTGTGCAAAGCAAACTGAAGAGTCCTCCTTATACAAGTTCCCGAACACATAACCTCTCTCTAATGTCTTCTGTGGCCCACTGTCATGTCTTTATTTATAAAATTTCTACCCTGCCCTGGCAGCGCAGTTTCCCCCACTCTATCCGTGCGGTAGGCTTAAGGATAATTGCGGGCTGAAGATCCCCGTTAGCTTAGATCCTGCAGTAAATCTCCACTAACGGAGGCATATTTGTCAACAGAACAGGAATTCTTCTCTTCCTCCATCCCAAAGTAATCCAAGTGCTTCTGAAATGTTGTTGTTAGGGGAGTGGGGGACCGCCAGGAAAAGCATGGAGATGATGTGTGTGTGTGGGGGGGGTCTGCAGTGGGAAGAAGAAATTGGTGAAAACTGCCCCCCCTTCTGTTTGAGGAAATTTCCTGTAGATACAAACCATTGCCTCACCCTATAGTTAAAGGTAAAGGTAATGGTTCCCTTGCTCGAAAGCCAGTCGAATCCGACTCTAGGGTTGCGGTGCTTATCTCCGTTTCGACGCCAAAGAGCCAGCGCTGTCCGAAGACGTTTCCGTGGTCATGTGGCCGGCATGACTAAACACCAAGGCGCACGGAACGCTGTTACCTTCCCACCGAAGTGGTACCTATTTATCTACTTGCAATTTCTTGCTTTCGAACTGCTAGGTTGGCAGGAGCTGGAACTAGAGACGGGAGCTCACTCCGTCCTGCGGCACCCGGGTCTCGAACTGCTGAACTACCGACCTTCCACAGCCTGCAGTTCAGCATCTTAACCACTTGAGCCACCGCAGCTCCACCCTATAGTTAGCAGGTGCAGAAATCATATATACGCCCTAAACTTAATTTGCATAATTTATACAGATCACGGAATGTAGCTTTTCATGGTGCAGAACTTGGGTGCTTCAAACACAACCGTGAGAGTTACAGAATAAGTGAGCACAGCCAGGCAGGTGGGGGCTTGAGACCAGGACAGAATGTCTTCCCTCCAACAGACTTGTCCCAGCTATTCACGGAGCCAACCTCACGGAACGTCTTCTTTCCTTCTAGCATCTCCTGTGTGTGGGATGGAGTCCTCCGGGTATTACAACGGGTCTCTGTCCATCACCGTCTCTGGCTTGGCGTGCTTAAATTGGTCGGACTTCCCTGATTACATTCTGCAGTATCCAGACCGGGGACTGGGGAACCACAACTACTGTAGGAATCCCGACGGAGGGGGGGCACCGTGGTGCTTCTACCAGCTGGCTTCTGGAGCCATCGGCTGGGCTAACTGTGATTGTAACCAGGGTGAGTACCCAGTGCTAAATCCGCGGGTCATGTTTGGATTCTCACCGACTCCTCGAAAGAGCAAGCTCCAGCGGAATGTTTCGGAAAGCTGGTAGGACAGGTACGGAAGGGCTTGTGGCCAGTCTCTCGATAGAGCATTTTTCACATGTAGGAACTCCAAACAGCTGAAAGGAAAGATTTCAGACAGAAACTTCAGCCCAAAGTTATCTAAAGAAGTCTTTTTCTCCTATCCTGTATTGACATGTTTAAAGAGTGTGTGACTGCAATAGAAAAGGCCAATGCTATGCTGGGGATTATTAGGAAGGGTATTGAAAACAGATCAGCCAATATCATAATGCCCCTATATAAATCAATGGTGCGACCTCATTTGGAATACTGTGTGCAGTTCTGGTCACCACACCTTAAAAAGGATATTATAGCTTTGGAAAAAGTGCAGAAAAGGGCAACTCGAATGATAAAAGGGTTGGAACACTTTCCCTATGAGGAAAGGTTAAAGCGCTTGGGGCTCTTTAGCTTGGAGAAACGACGACTGAGGGGTGACATGATTGAGGTTTATAGGATTATGCATGGGATAGAGCAGGTAGAGAAAGAGGTACTTTTCTCCCTTTCTCACAATACAAGAACTCATGGGCACGCCATGAAATTGCTGAGCGGTCTTCACCCAAAGAGTGATTAACACATGGAATTCACTGCCACAGGAAGTGGTGACGGCTACAAGCATGGACGGCTTCAAAAGGGAATTAGATAAGCATATGGAGCAGAGGTCCATCAGTGGCTATTAGCCACAAGGTATAGATAGGGGCTATGGGGCAGGTGATGCTCTGTCTTCTTGGTGCTTGGGGGGGGGGTCAACAGTGGGAGGGCTTCTAATGTCCTGGCCCCACTGGTGGACCTCCTGATGGCACCTGGTATTTTTGGCCACTGTGTGCCAGAGTGTTAATCTGGATGGGCCTTTGACCTGATCCAACAGTGGTGTCTCTTATGTTCTTACATGCAGTGCAGAAGAGTGTATAATGATGCTCAGATAATTCAATCTATCACAATTCATTGAAATAAATAAATTATCAAAATAAATGTTGTTCATCTTTAAGGTGCCACTGGATATTTGTTTTATTTGTCACCTTTAAAACTTTGAACAGTTTGAGGCTAGGGTGTTCCCCATATAAACACAGTAAATAGATGTGAGTCCGTCCCCGTATGCATCACTACTCACTCATTAAGACCTTTGGTAGAAGTCATCCCTGCATGTGTCCTACCCCCAGTCCTCCCCCCCTAGGCAGTGGGGCTTTCTCCACCAGGAAGGATGCCTATAGCCGCTTGCCCCAGGGAATCCGTTTTCAGCATCTGTCGAACACACTTCTGGTCAGACGGGGCTTTATGCTGATTTTCTTTGGCTGAATTGTATCTGTTCCTTCCCTACTGCTCAAGAGTTTTGTTTTTCTCTGACAGCTAGATCTGTATTGTGTGATCCTGTTTGTTTTAATGGTCATTTTAAAGGGCATGACCTCGTGGAAGCCCCCTAGCAGGGCCGGCGGGGCATCAGCATTCGCAGAGGTGGGTCCTCTGCTGAGGCCTGCTGTTTCTGGCAGGGCCCCCCCCCCGCTGCTGTTGCCCCTCCCACACCCTCTTGCTCCCTGCTGCTGCTGCAATCTCCACCCCCACCCCCCGCCATGTGCCACTGGGGAAAAGGCTGTGGGCAGCTGTGGGCGTGGGCAGTGGGCGGGCTCATGGGCTGACAAGGGAAGGATGTACCCGCAGGTGGGAGGGGAGGAGGGCCTGGGGGTGGGTGGGCAGAGGAGGGAGGGGACTCCTATGAACTGTCTGCCCCGGCCCCCGGGACCTGGAACCGGCCCTGTCCCCTAGGGAGCACCCCCTGGAAGATTACGGGATGCATTTAAACAAGAAGTCCACTTAGAAGGGATCGTCACTGAGGGCTGAAGGCCAGGGTCTCGGAAGGGAGGGAGGGGGGGGGGTGTACTGAAGAGGCCGAAGACGATGGTCAAACGAAAAAAGGTTTATTCAGAGCATTGCTCAGCTCCGGCATGGACTGACGACCGCTCTGCATAGAGCGGCACTCCAACTTATACGATTTCATAGTGAACTATATCCATTGTAACGATAAACACGGGGTCTCATTGGACCTAAGCAGAGTTCTACAATTGGTTACCCTGGGTGGCTTCAGGACCAATGGGATGGTCTTTATTAGATAGCCAATCGTAATGCGAGAACTAGGATACCAGAGACACTTCAAACATCACGGGACAACATAGAATCAAACCCAATACACAACAGGGGGGAAGGAAGGAAAGGAAAGATGGGAGGGAGGGAGGGAGGGGGAAGGAAGGAAGGAAGGAAGGAAGGACTACCCTATTCCTTCTCCTACATTGAGGTGGGTTTAAGACCAAGCATTCTGTGTGTTGTATGTGAAGGCATGCAGGAAAGCCCCGATATGTTGCTTTTCGTTGATCTCTCCCTTATTTACCTGTTGTGTCCGCTGACCGCCACCAGGGGCCAGCGAATACCCCAGAGCTTGACTCTGGAAGAACAACGGGGAATAGGCTCCTGGTCTCTCCACTGGGGGACCAATGGGACCGTGGCGGGAGATTTGAACCCACCAACGGGACCTAGGGGTTTGTCCCCTGGTGTGTATATAGTTGGCCAGCTGGCCGTTTGTCTTTGTTGTGTACTACGAAAGCGTGCAGGGTACCATGCGAGCCGCAGCGGGTCTTCCATGCGGTTAACCCACTGCACAATATTACCTGTTTCATTTACACCCTGCCATTCTGCCCATTCGGGACCCGAAGCAGCTTGCAGTGTTCCTCACAGCAATCCGGTGGGGACGGTTAAGCGGAGACCGCGAGGGGCTGGGCCAAAGTCATCCTGTGGGCTTCTGTGGCAGAGTGGGGATTCGAACCTGGGTCTCTCCCAGATCCTTGTCTGGCACTCAAACCATTATACAACCCCCCCCCCCCCCACCGGGGGAAAAAGGGCCGGGCCTTTTG